AGGCTGCGGGGCCCGGGAGCGTGCCACTGCACTCCAGTCTGGGGGACAGAGTGCGACTCCAATTCAAAAAAAAAAAAAAAAAAGAGAGGGAAAGCAAATATGACAAAAATTTAACAATTGATTATTCTAAGTGAAGCAAATATAAGCACTTATACTGTTCTTTCAACTTTCTGAATATTTGAACATTTTCAAGTGAAAAAATTAGAAAAAATGTTTAAAAGTGAAAAAACATCAATTAAGAAAAATTAATAGTTAGCATTTGTATAATTATACAATGGAGAAAATCTTTAAAGTATTATTCAGAAGCAAAAAACCATTCAGTTAAAGACTCACAGATTTAACTACATACAAATTTAAGCCTTTGAATCACAAGCACCATAAACAAATAGCACATGATAAACTAGGAAAAATAAATGCAGCATATTTGACAAGAAAAAATTGGATGCCCTTTCAGTTCTTACAAGTGAAAAGAAAAAAGATTTATACTCTGATAGAAAAATATATAAGGGCATGAATAAATAAATCAAAAAAGAAGGGTAAAGATGAGAAGATATGGAATACGTACTGTTAATAACTTCTTGGTTGATGTTTTTCAGACTTCATTAGAGTCATCTGAGATGCTTGTTAAAAATGCAGCTTCCAAGCCAGGCTCGGTGGCTCAGCCTGTAATCCCGCGCCTTTGGGAGGTTGAGGTGAGTGAATTGCCTGAGCCTGCGGGTTCGAGACCCGCCTGGGCAGCAAGACCTCATCTCTACAATAAATCAAAAAATCAGCCGGGCGTGGTAGCGCACACCTGTGGTTCCAGCTACTTGGAAAGTTGAGGCGGAAGGATCGCCGGAGCCCAGCAGGTCGAGGCTGCGGTGGCCGGGAGCAGCCACTGCACTCCAGTCTGGGCGACAGAGTGAGACTCCAACTCAAAAAAAAAAAAAAAAAAAAGGCAGCTTTCTGGGCCTACTGAATCTCAATCTGTGGTGGTAAGGCCCAGGAAATTGAATAATAAAAATTCCCCTAATGATTTATAATCACATTATTTGAGAATCAAGGGTTGTAACTAAAATTTATTTTTTTCATCCAACTTACCTTTGTCTCAAAATAAATGCAAGAAAATAGAGACCTGTCTCAATGTCACCTCTTCACACATGGCCTGTGTACTACCTTAGGCAAATTCTTTAACCACATTAGTACAATGTGAATAATAACTACCTTAAAAGGCTGTTGTAAACCGGGCTCGGTGGCTCAGCCTGTAATCCCGCACCTTTGGGAGGCTGAGGTGAGTGAATTGCCTGAGCCCGCGGGTTCGAGACCTGCCTGGGCAGCGAGACCTCATCTCTACAATAAATCAAAAAATCGGCCGGGCGTGGTAGTGCATGCCTATAATTCCGGCTACTCCGAAGGCTGAGGCGGAAGGATCGCCGGAGCCCAGCAGGTCGAGGCTGCGGTGGCCGGGAGCGGCCACTGCACTCCAGTCTGGGCAACAGAGTGAGACTCCAACTCAAAAAAAAAAAGAAAAAAAAAAAGGCTGTTGTAAGGACTAGTTTGCTGTTTGTAAAATGTCCAGTACTGTTTTTGGCATATAATAACTTCCTAATAAATGGTGGTTATTAATATTTTTCACTATAACTCATTCTATTTTTAAAGTGCTACCATTTTTTTTTTCAGGTAATGTGATCTTTTTCTTCTTCTTTGTATATTATAGCACTTTATGTATAATTGCTCAAAACTGGAAATAACCCTGTTATGGGTTGAATTGTATCCCCACAAAGTGTATTGAAGCCCTAACTCCCAGAACCTCAGAATATGGCCTTATTTGGAAATAGGGTCATTGCAGACATAATTAGCTTTAATGAGGTCACACTGGAGTAGAGTGGGCCACTAATCTAATATAATTCATGGTCTTATAAGAAAGAAATTTGGACACAGATGATTCTTCTCTACAGATTTCAGAGGAAGCGTGGGCCTGCTAACACCTTGATTTAGGACTCTGGCTTCCATAATGATGAGAAAATACATTTCTATGGTTTTAAGCCACCCAGTTTTTGGTTGTTAAAATATTCCCTAGGAAACTAATGAAAACCCTAATATCCTTCAACAGGTGGATGTAAAACAAACTGACACATCCATACAATCGACTATAACATGGGTGAATCTCAAAGACATTATGCTAAGTAAAAGAAGCCAGTTTCCAAATGTTACGTCCTGCATGATTCAATTCATGTGATAGTCTGCTAAAGGCAAATCTATACAGAAAGAAAACAGATCAGTACTTGCCAGAGCTTGGAGTGGGGTGTCTACAAAGGGGAAACATGAGGGGAAACATTTGGAGTGATGGAACTGCTCTATATCCCTATCGTGGTGGTGGTTGGTTACCTAAATCTATGCATGTGTTAAAACTCATATAACTGTATATTCAAAAAGAGTTAATTTTGTGGTATGTTAATTTAGATATTAAAAAAATGAAAACATGTACACATCATATTTGATGATATTTGGATATTTAAAAAAAATAATTTTTTAAAAATACTTTAAAATAAATTGTCTGTTTGGGTTTTTGCCAGAAAAGCTACTTTGTGAGGGTTCTGTCATACCAACCTTGTGCTCTGTGGGCCTGTTTTTCCCATCTGTAAAAGGAGGGGACCTTCCTAGAGCAGTGACTTTATCTCTACTCCCCAGATTGCACCGTAGGAACTCCCTTTGTGACAGTGAGGAGTGGTGATTGGTTTGGAGAGAAAGGGCATTCAGATTTCACTGGGCTCTAGATACACAGGTCTGCTTCAATCAGAGCAGTTGTGCTTTTGTCTATGTTTTTTGTCTAAAAACCTCTTGATTAGAATAGCTGAGATACTGGGGGAGTTTGAATAATCCTGGATTCCGGAGCCTACTTGTGGGGCTCACTAGTTTATCTCTTTGGCAAGTGCCCCCATAAATCCTGGTAATTAGCAAGACCAGGGTGCTGGCTCTAACAGTAAGTCACTCTAAACAAGGTGTTTGGGGGAAGCTGGAATCATGCTTCTTCATGACCTCTTGGATGCACAGGGATTACACACAATGAGACCTCTAAAGAGGCTCTAAATCTAGGCCTGTTCTGAGGTAGGATCCAAAAGGACCTTAAACCATTTGTTTTTACATACTGGATGATATTTTGGAAGAGCAGTTTGTAAACAACAAAGGGCTGTGAACAGATGGGGGAAATGACATTATGAGGACGTGTGTGGTGACCCCAAACCAGAGGGCCAAAGAGTATCATTGCCCTTTACTCCAAGAATGAAACTAGTCATGTGCCAGGTACCGTGCTAAGGAGCCCAGTCCTCACAACAACTCTGTGTGAGAAGGGGTGTCATGGCTTTGGTGTCATGGTGAAGAAATTGAGGCTATGAGAGGCTCCAGGTTACAATAGGAGGAGGTATCAGGGGTGACAGGGCTGGGTCATGGACAGAAGCTCCAGCCTCCGAAACCAAGGCTCATGAGAGGAACCCCTGAGGCCTGGTGTCAGGCCTGCTCTCTCTCAGTAGTACATGCCCTGGGAAAGAGACTAATGTCCCTTTTCACAAAGGCTGGTGGGAGATCACATCCTTGAAACCTTTTAACAGCACCCCCCACTACAATATTTTTAAACTTTATAGAGTAGAATGGTTTCTTCAAAAACCAATGTATAAATCCAGTCTAGAAAACCACAGAGGGGCCACTGTGGTTGAAGGTGGGGACAAGGATATCCTGAGATGCCTGCAAGGTTTCCAGAGCACCACTTGAAGGATACTTACCCAGTAGGTTGGTACTTACTAGGAAAAGTGCAAAGAGTGCCATGTTGTCTGAGGCTTTGACTTTGGGTTGGAAACAACCTGGTGGTATTCTGCAGGGACTTGCTCCTGGGATAGCAGCTTTTGGCAGACGTCAGTATTCCAGGTCTGCTACATGTATTGGGTGCTGCTGGCAGGTCCATCTGAGCTGGGCATCACCTGCCCCTCCTTTGTTCCAGCCATGCCCCAGCAGCCTGACCTGCCCCTCACAAGGTAAGAAACATTTTCCCCATTTTACATGTAATGAATTGTATCCTTTAAAGATAAGGCTTACTACATTAAAAACTCTAAATCCCTTCCCTTTTCTCTTGCCCCTCTACAAGGTATCATCCGGTTTTCTTTGCCAAAAAAAAACCAATGTTCAAGTTCAGTCTTGGTGTAGGATGAAGGACAGATGTCAGGGGCTGGCTAGGATGGCTCACATTGGCATCATCAAACTTACATCCTTCTCATAGATGTCAGGGATGGAACCTATCGGCGAGTTGATCATGTGCACGGTGTTCTGACTAAACAGTTTGAATTCATAATGGATGAGCTGTTCCCAAAAGCCATTGTTAGGCCGGATGATGGGGCGGCACGACTTGGTCCATGTGTGGGCATCCAGCAGGGACATGGCGTGGTATTTCATGAGATAGGCAAGGCAGAAGGTGGCCGAGCGACTCACTCCCGCGGCGCAGTGCAGCAGTGTGCGGCCCTGCTTCATTTCCACGCTGTGGATGTGATCAGCAACAAGATCAAAAAAGTCGTAGAGACGCGAGCTGGGAGAATCCGCCACGGGCACCTTTATGTATTGAATGTTCTCGAAGACAGTGTTCACCACCTCTACTGAGACGTTGATGACTGTGGTGATGCGGTGGCTTGACAGCAAGAGTTTGTTGTTGGCGGCCACACCATTGCTGATGTACAGGCTGCCGGTTATCAGGGAGAGGCCGTGGATGGCAGGCTGCCCGACAGCCTGAGAAGGACGGGGACCCGAGGGTGTTGTCATCAAGGCGGTGGGTCGGCGGTCCCTCTGTACTGGTTCAGGTCACCACTCTTGCGAGTGCTCGAGACTTGGTGCCGCCAAGTCTTGGGCGGAGGTCTTAAAGAAAGAGGACTGGCCGCGGATTACCACCCTCTTCCTGTCTACTCATCCGCATCACAATCCCCTACAGCTGATGCTCCGGTTTCCATGACAAAGGCCTCTTGTCGCAGGGAGGACAGGGCCTCTGAGCTGGGTCTTCAGAGAAACCCCAATCTCTTTTCTTTTTATCTTTCTTCACAGTGGTTTATTTTCTGAGGCTTAATTCTTATCTTTTTGAACTTTAAAAAATGTTCTGTTACAAGATATTTGTTTTATGCATCAATTATTGGATCACACTGAACACAATATCTATGAATGCTTCTATTCCATTAGTGTTGAAGAACATGATTTACATTTTCTCTGAAAAGTAGTGCTATCATGTTTAAAATTGGGGAAGAGTATTTGGCTCATGTGATGTGCTCATCTTTATAAAAGTCTAGCAAGATACAGAGTTTGGCTGGACTTGGTGGACTGGCCTGATACTAGAAAATTATGCTCCTGCCTACGAATGCATCAGGGTTGGTTGTAAGGGAGCATTGCTAACTGATACATAACCCTTTCTCTGTCATGAAATTGGCCTGTGGTGAATAGTTGTGACTTATTTAGCTGTGTCACAGTCCATTTGTACATACAGGTCATATGATTTATCACTTGATTCTACTTTTTTTTTTTTGAGTCGGAGTCTCACTCTGTCACCCAGACTGGAGTGCAGTGGCCGCTCCCAGCCACTGCAGCGTCAACCTGCTGGGTTCCGGCGTTCCTTCTTTCTCAGCCTTCCAAGTAGCTGGAACTACAGGCGCGCGCTACCACACCTGGATAATTTTTTATTTATTGTAGAGATGAGGGCTCGCCAAGTTGCCCAGGCAGGTGTCGAACCCGCGGGCTCAGACAATCCACTCACCTCGGCCTCCCAAAGCACTGGGATTACAGGCTAAGCCACCGAGCCTGGTGATTCTACTTTATTACTTGAAACAGATCAAATTATCTTGTCTGCTTTCTTCAAAAAGAATGCTCACATGCGTTGTGAACTACAAGTCACTTTGAACACCAGTGATGATGTCTTTCCAGTAATATTAAACATTCTGGAACAAATTAACACTAATAATTGGGCCCAAAATTGATTTTTTTTTTTTGAGTTGGAGCCTCACTCTGTTGCCCTCACTGGAGTGCAGTAGCACGCTCCCGACCACCACAGCCTTGACCTGCTGGGCTCAGGCGATCCTTCCACCTCAGCTTTCCAAATAGCTGGAACTACAGGCACACACCACCATGCCCAGCTAATGTTTTGATTTTTATTGTAGAGATGAGGTCTCACCAAGTTGCCCAGGCTGGTCTTGAACCTGTGGGCTCAGGCAATCCTCTCACCTCGGCCTCCCAAAGTACTGGGGTTATAGGCATGAGCCACCATGCCTGGTCCCAAACTTGATTTTTATTTCTGTGTGTTATTTTTTTGAGGCGGGGTCTCACTCTGTTGTCCATGCTGGAGTACAGTGGCACAGTTATGGCTCATCACAGCCTCGACCTCCTGGGTTCAGGCAATCCTTCTGCCTCAGCCTTATGAGTAGCTGGGACTACAGGTGCCCACCACCACACCCAGCTAATTTTATTTTTATTTTTGTAGAGATGAGATCTCACTATGTTGCCTAGGCTGGTTTTGAACTCCTGGGCTCAAACAATCCTCCTGCCTCAGCCTCCCAACGTGCTGGGAGTATAGGTGTGAGCCACCACTCCTGGCCCTAGAATTAGTTTTTAAAATGCCACCTGACATTTACATTTCCTCTCAGCAAAAATTTTTGTAGAATTTGACTGAAAATAGAAAAGAACCATAACCTAAAACTAACAAACTATTTCACAGAGCAGCCAAGAGACTCATATACTTCACTCTCATTCCATGGTTATTTTGGTTTGTGAGCACATGTGCACTTTGGTTACGAACAAAGATCAAATAGATGCCAGCCTGTTTATGATGATAAAGAAAATGACAACCTCAAAGCACAACACACTTTTCTTTTTCTCAGTTGTTATACTCAAATTATTTCGCATTACTTAAATTGCCAGTCTCCACAAATCTATCTGGAAGAACATAATACACATACTAAATACATATGAAAACTGCCTACTGGGGACAGCTTAATTGGGCTAAAGTTATTTAAAAGATTTTAATCTTACATTCACTTGTGACATCAGGGGGAGTTTTGCAGTCTATGAAGTAACATCAAGGCCCCAAGTCTATTTAGTTCATAAGTATGCACTTCTTAAACTTTAAAAATTTAGTAAAATTATCCCAAACATTTCAGACATTATTCTCAAAGACAGACATATTCCATATTAAATAGATTCATTTATTTATTATTTCATATTCTGTGACACCCTTTAGTCTAAGGGATGTTGGCTGTCTTAAAATTCCACTGTGAGGCTTTTCCTGCATGAATGAGGAGTTGACATTTCCTTCTGTTGAGTTTGGAAACAGGTCACTTTCAGATTCCCATTGGTCTCTACTTTTCCTTATTATTCAATGAAAAAATGTATAAGGGACTCATTCAAGAACATGCCCTACTGAGAAAAGACCCTGAATGTTAAGAACTAGTTAATATTCAGATTTCTCAATTCAGTAGTCAAGGCCCTTTCTAATCTGATCTAAGCCTGCCTTGCAAATCTTATTCATTCATTTATTCATTAGATGTTTATTAAGAATCTGTTGTGTGCGAGGCATTTTCACCTACACAAATCCTTAATTCTGACCAGACAAATCAAACGTTCTTCTTAAATACAAAATGTGTTACTGCTTCCTTATCTTTGCACATGCCATTCCTCTCTCTTGAGGAAACTTCTCATTCCCCTCTGCTTCTTACCTAAGCTTGAATCCTACCTAAGCTTCAAACTCAGCTTGATTAATTTTAAAAGGAAACTGCTAGGGTAAGGAGGGGCATACCTCATCAACAAGTGTACCTGCGTGATAAATGTTTATATACCTAACCCTGAATTGTACCCCACATCCTTATAATAAAAAAAAAAAGGATCAACTGAGCATCCAATCTGTGTCAGATGCAGTCCTAATATGGTATAGATCCAACACAAAACAAGCCCTGATTTCCAAGAGCTTATAACTTGGTCAGAGAGCTAGATAATCTTGCAAGAGTCCAGAAAACAGGGCGATTTATTGTTTAAGGTGTGTGTTTGGGGGCCAGGGCAGAAGTAGGATGTCATGGAATGCTTTACAGAAAACATGACCTGGAACAAAGTTTTTTGTTTGTTTGTTTTCATTACTGATTATTTATTCTGTCCAAGTTTTTGTTATGAAAAATATCAAGCCAGCAGAAAAGCTGCAAGAATAGAACAATGAACACCTATTGATCCTTCATCTATAATTCTATTGTTAACACTTCCCCACATTTGCTTTAGATACACAAACACGCATATTTATTTATTTGCTTGCTTCTTTTTGCTGAACCAGTGAGAGTTTATTGCAGCTATAGCAACACTTTAGCCCTTCAGCATGTATCACCAAAAAACAAGTACATTCTCTTTCATAACCACAGTACGATGACCATATTCAGGAAGCTTAACATTAACACCATATTACTATCTAATATATAATTTATATGCAAATTTCATCAAGCCTCCCAATAATATTATTTATAGCTGTTTTTTTCTTTTGATCTGGGATTGGCTCAAGGATCAGACGTTGCATTTAGTTGTCATGATTCCCAAGCATCTTTTTTTTTTAGAGACAATGTCTCCTTCTGTGGCCCAGGCTGGAATGCAGTGTATGATCATGGCTCACCACAGCCTCCACCTCCTGGGCTCAGGTAATCCTCCTGCCTCAGCCTCCCAAGTAGCAAGGACTACAGGTGTGCGCCACCATGCCTAGCTAATTTTTTAATTTTTTGTAGAGATGAGATCTTGCTATGTTGCCTAGGCTGGTCGCAAACTCCTAGCCTCAAGCAGTCCTCTTGCCTCAGCCTCCAAAAGTGCTGGGATTAAAAGCATGAGTCATTGTGGTAGGCCTATTATAGACTCTCTTCTGACATGGAAGTTGGATCAAATCTAAATATATTTCATCTCCTCAGGTATACAGATGAACCAAGCCAAATAAGAGGATCGAATACCAAGCTTCCTACAGAGCAGGAGTTGGAGAGTTTGGAGTCCTGAAAGGAGGATAGTTAAGGCAAGAAGCTGAGGATGCAGACAGTATGTTTAAATTGGAGGGTGAGAGCTCAGAAAAGCTATGCAGCTAAGAGTAATTGCATGTTACATTGTCTGACAGGTAAGATGGGAGTTCCTCAGCAGAAGGCCCCAAGGCCAAGGTGGTGGTTGGCCTTCTGGAGCAATGAGCATGGACAATCGTATGAGAATTTCATTTCAGATGTGGAGCTGGGTCAGGTGCACCACCATGTACAGCCAGCAGGAAGCCAGATCCTCTAGGACTTGTTGCTGGACTCAGCCTGGTCCTTGGTTTATGGATGGTGAGGGAGGAGACAGATGGATATGAATATGGAAGTCTTTAAATAACACCCTCTAGTCCTAAATACAGATAGCATGAGAAAATGATTATGGTTTATTTGTTAGGTGGGAAAAAAGCAGTTTATAAAAATGTAGGTACATTTTTGTAAAGGTATATGTATTCATCATATATGTATATATATCATATATACTAAATATCTATTTATAAATTTTATTTATGGAAATATTAGGTATCTAGAGCAGCCTGGATATATAAGAATTTAATGTGTTAGATTTTACTTTATTGTGGGTTTTAGCCTTAATCTGTATTAATCATTCAAACAGAATTTTATTTAAGTTGACAAATGACAAATTGTGTATATTTATGGAGTATAACATTATTTTATATACATATATATATACACACACACATTGTGGAATGATTAAAGCAACTAATTAATATATCTATTACCTTAAATACT